GCTCTGGATTGGGGAATTGGGGTTGAATCGCGCAAATGAATGGAGAAGAAGAAGATAACATTATTTTATATTTAGTTGTAAAACGTATTGGCGGAATACATTTTATAAGTATTTAATTGTAAAACGTATTTTTAATATACGTTTATATATATATATATATTTTTTTTAAAAAAAAAAATTTACGTTTTATAAAAAACACATTCGTCTTTTTTTTTATTCAAAACGTATTTCCAAAATACGTTTTTTGAAACCCTAAATCAATTTAGGGGTTATATTTTGGAAATACGGTTTAAAATTATCATTTTTTATTCTATTTCTTTTTCTTTTAAACGGAACTATTTATTTTTAATTTTCAAATATAATTATAACACGTATTACAAGAATACGTTTTTTTAGTTAAATTTAATTTAGAAAACGTATTACGGGAATACGTCCTTTAAATTTTTTTTCTACTCCTTTTTTTTTTGTCCACTTTATTTTTCTCTTTTTGAAATAAATAAACTACTCTAACTTTGCCCCGCAAAAAAGGCTGTTAATCTCATTTGTCCATGTTCACCAACATAATAAATGTTATTCTGCAAATTTAGACGAGATATGTAGAATATTTATTCTGATTTTGACAGGACGAACTGAAGTTGCCCCAAAGCCCCAAGGCATTTGATTTTTTGTTGAGCAATTTGAATATATGGGTTTTTTTTGTAGGAACATATTTTTTTTTCTACAAGTACATAATAAATGTACATAAAGATGTACATAACACTTATATGGAGTAGAGTCTACTTAATTTTTTATTTTTGGTAGGACGCACTCAATGTGAATATTATGTACACCTCTTGTACATTATTATGTACCTGTAGCATTTCTCGTAATATCCTACTATTTGTTATATCGTATATGTATTGGTTTTTAAGCTAAACACTTTATCCACTTGCTTAATTTTAAATCCTAATTTCACCACAGGTTTAATTTAAAATTGAGGTGAAGTATGAAACGAGAACATATTGGTGAATTGGTGTGTAGAAGGCTTGGATGACATGGGCCCCATACCTTAATACAAGATACCACGAAAGGCGCAAGCTAAGGCTGCAAACAAGTCGAGCCAAGTCGAGCACTAGCCTTATCGAGCAGGATTGATTTTTTCTTTTTAAATGCTCGAGCTCGACTTGATAAAAAAATACAATAGTTCGAGCTCGGCTAAAAAATTTTTAAGTGGAAAAGTAAAATTACCATTAAGCACTTATGTTATACTATTGTAATGTATATATAAAGGGTATTTTTAGTAATTCAACATATATCTCGAGCCGTTCGAAGAGCAGTTCGACAATGCAAAATATGGGCTCGAGTTCGGTCATACTCGAACTCTGGCTCGAGCGCTAGCAAGCGGTTCGATTCGTTTGCAGTCCTAGCGCGAACACAAGTGCACAACCCAAATAATTAAATGAATAATTTCAAAACTAATAAGAAAAGTCGTGTAACTAATAAAAAAACCCTTCAATGTAATCCCGAATGTGCTGAGTCTAAGTGACAGATTCACATGTTTCGAGATCTTATGTACACATTTTCGTATTTTGTCATTTGGTTTGGATAGATTTTAATGTAATTGCAATCAAAAAATAACTAGGTCTGGTATATCCATAAATATATTGAATATTTAAGATATTTTTTAAAAGGATTATTTATGTTTTAATATCATTTCATATTCTATACGAATTTATAAGACATATTTTTTTTCCTAATCTATCTTTTTTTCCATATTCTTTTAGAATTATATAAAATTTACTAACTTAAATTATAAATATATCTAAAAATTAATATATTTATTATCAATTATATATATAATATCAAATTAAGCATGTCATGATGAATTTCAATTCTACATCATATTGGAAGAAATAAATTATTAAATTAATTTGACTTCAAAGTAGTTGTATGATATGACTTAAAAAAATTATTATAATATCAGATATACAAATGACGGGGTTCTAAATATAAATAATAATATAATTTTTCACAAAAAATATTTAAAATAAACAATATTTTGTATTATTTTTAAGGAGGAACATTTGAAACGCCAACTATTTATTATATTGATTAATTAGCCAAATAAAATGAANAGAAGTAGTGTTGACAGTGGGATTCGAACCCACACCCTTTCGGGCCAGAACTTTAGAGCATGTTTGTTTATAAAAATTTTTGGTTTTGTTTGGATTTTTTGATTTGGTTTGGTTAATTTTGAGAAAGGTGGTATGGTTAGTTGTTAATGAGTATATTAAAATAATATTTAAAATAAAATAATTAAAATTGATTTGATGTAAAAGTAGGAGAGAGAGATTTGAAGTGATGATTAGTTAAAATAATGTGAGTAGATGAATAGTGAATTAAGGTTGATGTAGTGTGTATGATTGATTGATTGATTGATATTATTTAATTATATTGATAATTTTGATGATAGTGAGATTGAGTTAAAGTTGAGTTAAAAAAAGTGGTTGAGTTAAAATGTTGGAAATTTTTTGAAAAATTTCATATTTGTTTATAGAAATTTTTGGTTTTGTTTGGATTTTTTGGTTTAGTTTGGTTAATTTTGAAAAAGGTAGTATGGTTAGTTGTTAGTGGGTATATTAAAATAATATTTATAATAAAATAATTAAAATTGATTGATGTAAAAGTAGGAGATAGAGATTTGAAGTGATGGTTAGTTAAAATAATGTGAGTGGATGAATAGTGAATTAAGGTTGATGTGGAGTGTATGAATGATTGATTAATATTAATTAATTATATTGATAGTTTTAATGATAGTGGAGTTGAGTTAAAAAAAATAGTTGAATTAAAATGTTGAAATTTTTTTGAAAATTTCTTATAAAAAAGACCCTACTCATTTCTTATAAAATTTCTTATGGCGACAAAATTTCTAGATCAATTACAGATTTGCCAAATTAAAGTGGANAAGACCCTACTTATTTTACTATTAGTTTCCAAGTTCCAAATACCTTATGTTACATGGGTATTCTTAGAGCATCTATAATACTTTGGATTCTCTCAAAAAATATACAGGCAACATAAAAAATAAACATATTCTAGGAAAATATGTACTCCAATGTAAATGTAATTGGATTGGGTCCTGATGTAATAACAAGGAAATGAGACCCGGTCTACCCTTAAGTCTATTTTAGACTTAAGTAGAGACTTAGTCGCTTTGTATTGGAGTTAATTTCATTAATTTTCTATATTTTTATTCATGTCATCCAAGACTTAAGTTTATTTACATGCCATGTAAGCAAAATTAGACCCAACACATTGTACATGCAAACTTTATGAAGTTTTTTTATTTAATTCATCAGGAATGATCATATATCATTAGCACAAACATCAATACCTTCTCAACAACAACAATAATAATATGTAATCAGCCTTCAGGAAATGGCTAAACAATTTTAAACTAATCAGAGCAATTTCATTACTAAGTTTACATCATGGGGTGTTTTGAAAAAACTTAAATATCTTAGCCTTTCATATTTTCAACTAATATTACAGAATAGCGATAATTACATCATATATTCATATTTGACATAGTTTTGCAATATCAACTTGTTGTACACGTGATTACACCGGTGTTAGTTACAAAATTTATAATAAAATTCTTTAATTTACATATATATATGAGAGAAGTGTTTTATTTAAATTTTAAATATTATTAAAAAATAAAATTATTGCTTATATTTAAAATGAGACTTTCACTTGTACGATTTGTTTGTCTTATATTATAATAATTTTTCTAAATCATATAATGGAATTTATAGATAATATTTCTCATTGGTATATAATTTTATTATTTTTTAATCAGTATTAATAAATGATTTAATTTTATAATAAAAAATAAATTTATTTATTTATTTTATATAAGCAATATGAATATCAATTCGAAGCTCGTAAAAAGATAATTAATTTGATATATTATATATGAAAAATAAAAAAAAATACAAAATTTTTTACTTTTAAACATATTTATTTATAATTTAAATTACTCAAGTGTTTTATAATTTTAAAAGTTCTTATAAATCTGGATAGACTCCAGATCTACATGGACTACTCCGACACACCAGAGATTGACACATAGGATTACGAACCACCAGAATTCGACACATAAGATTACGAAACATCGGAAGTCGATGTGTAACAACCAGACATTGTGCATTAATATATTGGGAGAAATATCATTTCAGTGCTTTTTCTTTCTTACTGTACTTATTTCTCTTCAGGGGTTGATCACAGGTAGTATGGTATTCCATTATCATGATTATCAACAAGATCTATACACAGTTCCAAAACAAAATGAACTACAGTATCATGTGACAGCTTCATGATACTCAGAATGAGGATGTAACAATGTACTCTTCCTCCTCAAAATCGATAAATCACCCAACACAAAAACAAAAAACAAAATGATGACAACCGAACGACAAATAATAACGAATGGACAAACAATTCTCTAAATGAAATAGCCTTTATTTATTTTATTTTTTTTTCAGTACAAAGAATTGTACGTACAGCACGTCGCAACAATGGAGACCATGCAGATGACGAGCGATGGAATAAGTGTTATGTTCAATAGATTGGTTTGCCCCAATAACCCGGCAAGAGTTATTGTTCCATCTGCAACCACACGGGCAAGAGTACCGGCTTCAGTCGACAAAAGGCCGCCATTGTAGGTCCCACGTGAAAGCCTGGATGACATCACTCTGGAGAGCAGTGACAGATTGACACCTGTAATTAAAAATCAATAAGATTTATATGCATGTAAGAATTATCTTACAACAGTGTAGAAAAAATGATTACTGATAGATGAGGGATGATTTTCCCTTTTGAGGGTAGTTTCCAGCAATTACTGGTTTAAGGT